GATAGGCGAGCGTTGGAGTTCGAGGTTGAAGGAGTGGTAGGAAGGGGTCGTCCGCGATTGGGATGGAGAGAGCAGGTGGAGAAGGACAGGGTGAAAGCGGGGTTGCGTGATACTGAGGCGAGTGACAGATGTGGATGGAGTCGAGGGGTATTTCGGTTTCATCATAGGTAGCCAAACGGCAACCCCCGATCTCGGGGAAAATGCCGTCTAAACGTGTGTTGTTGTTGTTGTACTCTAAGGATAGGAGGAGTAGTACAGAGCTGATGTCGATGATGGGACTGAATGAGGACATTGTGACATTGATAAGGAGATCGAGATTGTGGTGGTATGGACATGTGTTGAGAAGGGATGAAAGGGTTGGAATAGGCGAGCATTGGAGTTCGAGGTTGAAGGAGTGATAGGAAGGGGTCATCCGCGATTGGGATGGAGAGAGCAGGTGGAGAAGGACAGAGTGAAAGCGGGGTTGCGTGATACTGAGGCGAGTGACAGATGTGAATGGCGTCGAGGGGTATTTCGGTTTCATCATAGGTAGCCAAACGGCAACCCCCGATCTCGGGGAAAATTTCGTCTAAACTTGTGTTGTTGTTGTGTATTATTATCTACTGTTAATTATGAATTGTAGTTTGTTAAGAATATATAAAGAATAGCAAAGGCGACTTTATTCTAGAAATTGAAGTAAATAAAGGGTGTAAAAAGTACTGGGAGGGAATCAAGATCAAATAATCATCTATATCTATGACAGCAATACGTCCAATGTTTAAGATACTAACACGATAATATATCATTTAATCCGAAACTCATTGCTAACAAATAAATTGTTTTTTTCACTAAAGGAGTTTTAGTTATTTAAAGCTGCGCCATAGAAATATTTGCAGTATTTATTACAAACTCTTGTGTTACTTTTTACAGTTAGCAATGGCCGGTTCGTACATTCTAGTGAATAGGCATATTTGTATTATTTTAGGCCTTTTCTGTTTTATTCTTGACAAGCGATGCATTTATTAAATTTTTTTGCCCGCGAGAGGCTTGTTGAACAAAAAAGCTCACCCATCTTCATTTATAAGCAAAAATTTTTAAAAGTTGTAATTTTTATATTAGTTTTTATTGTTGGGGGAATGTTTTTGTATTTGTTCATCGTCTAGGTTAGGGTTAGGGTTAGTTTGATTTGTTTCAGAAACGTGATGTCAGCACACGCTCTTCTTGTGATGGTGTCCTACAGTGTTCTGAACGTCTTTAGTTTTTGAGGTACGTTTTTCATATGGTGTCTTCTGCAGGATCGGTGGTATTTTGATTCAGATGTATGCTAACGATCTATTGTGTTGATGTTGATATTGTGTATTTGAAAATTTTGTGTCGTATTAACCGTAAAATTATTTGGTTTGAAACATAGCCGTGTTTTTCTTTATTCTAATAAAACTGAATTTTTATAGCTTGGCTCTAGGATCTCACTATCATAATTTCTTCTATGGATTTCAGGTGAAAAATCGCCAGTGAAAGACCGCCGGACAAAAGACCGCCGGACGTTAGGTTGCCCAGTATTATGGTCGCCAAGCATTAAGATCGCCAGACGTTAATAAGGTAGAAAGGTTAAAAATGTCGCAATTATTCTAAGGTTTGAAATTCTATGTACATACTGCACTGAATTCGAAAACACGGTCAACCAATGATGTTCTAAGGAATAATTTTTTAACTTTCAAGATTATGACGTCGACAAACAAAAATAACTGATCGCTGGTCTGTACAAAACTTACATGAAAATTTTTACAAGAACACATGAAGGGTTCCATAAATTCTAAACATTAAAATTCAAATCAAGTGCAATACCACGTAAATAATCGAGATTATTAATCATGGGATAGTTCCCAACAGCTGCCACTATTCTGACCTAAACATCTCTGTAGATTTTTTTGCTGGTGGGCCTTGGTTGTCGACCTTAAATGAGATGCTCAATAGCTACCTGATTAAACTTCTGTCCAGTTTTCGAGCTATCAATTAATTTCTATATAGTTGAAGGATCTGCTCCAACTACTTCATTGAATCAGCGATGTCAACCCTCCACTGCGTTGTTTAGTGCGAGGTAGATTCTCAGCAACTGCATCGAAGAAATTTGCAACAATCATGCATGAATTGGTTGTTCAAAGCGTGTAATAAAGTCAGTAATAAAATGCGAAGATATTTTTATTACTATTGTATTATATTATTATTATTATCGACCTCTGTATCATGCGACCTTATTGTTTTGCGACCTTTGTGCTATGCGATCTTATTGTTTGGCGACCATACGCTGGCGGTCTTTTACCGACGGTCTTGTCACCGGACACCCATCTATGGAAGTTTCGTATGACAAAACGAATCACGTCCCAGAAACCAAATTATTTCGACTCGATTGGGTTATTGTTATTTTGGAAGTGATCAAGCCTATTCGGTTTGTTCAAAGTTCTGCTCTAGGTCGAGTTATGAAATGAGGATGTTTGGCCATTTTTGGGAGAGTCTTTTCATCGGTTTTCTGTCCGGCAGAGAATTTTCGGTGCTAACCTTCAAACGTGTTAATGGCCTCTCCTCTATTTTTAGTGTGTGTTAAAAAATAATAAAATAATATTTTTGAAATATGTATTCTTCTTAATCAGAAACTAGAAAATTATTTATATATGTTAAAAATTTAATTGGATTTATGATCAGTTAAAAATTGTTTATTTCCAGGATTTGTGAGTTATGACAGTCCAACATCAGCACAAAATGCCATACAGGCAATGAATGGATTTCAAATAGGAGTGAAGAGGCTGAAAGTCCAACTAAAACGGCCCAAATCAGATGTTCGACTCTATTGATTGACTGGGGTTTTAATTTATTTATTCGCTGCTTTTTATAAGAAATATTATTTGAAAATAAAAATATTTTTATAGATTAATTAAGGTATAATTAATTTTAACAGGATTAATCAGGTCGGCTTGATCATCACCGCTGCCCTGGGCGATCAGTTGTTTTGTTAATCATTTTTCATCACACATTTTTTACAACACGCATTCATAAAAAAAATTTATTTTCATTTTCTTCTCCTAAGATCGCATGTATACTTTAATATTAATGTGTGTGTATATATATGTATTACACACACACAGACACACACACACACACACACACACACACACATATATATATATATATATATATATATATATATATATATATATATATATATATATATACATGTGGGCATTGAAGAATGGTTTTCAATTAAATTTTTAAGGTACAATGTTTGGTTTTGTTTGCAATTTTTATAAAAAAAATTTTATATGTTTTTTGGTAATATTGTTTAGCTTATTCATCTTTAATATTTAAAACATTTTGTATTACATGATATATGCATACATATGTATATATTCGTGTGTGTTTGTGCGCGCGCGTGTGTGTAAGCTGTATGTTTGTGTGTGTGTATAATGAAAGTGTGTTTGGTGCTCACGTTTTGTGCACGATGTTCTAGTATATTTGTGTGAGAAGGTACAGTGATTCGTTGTGACTATTATTCTGTACATGTTACAGGATAATATTATATAATAAATACGAAAATGATATATCTTTCTTTGATAGAACAAGGAATGGTACAGCTAAAAAATTTATGAGGTGAACTCAGGTTAGTCCTGGTTTGTGCTGGTTTGCTCGTGTAAAGCTTACAGTAATGATAGAATATAATGAAAATTTCATTGATGGCTGTAATTTTTTCACTTTTTGTTGCTTTGAAATAGAGAGTTTCTAAAAAGAATTAAAATTTTTTGTTAATGCTGATAACTATCTGCCACCATTTACTGGGCCAGGAAAGTTTGTAGCCATCTATATTGTAATCATTTATTTTATTACCCTATATATTTTTTATAATAATAATAATGAGAATTGATGATGCTCTTTGCATATCTTATTATTTTCTTCTCTTTCAAATACTTTTTTCTGTTATCAAAATTGGAGTTTAGTGGAAAATTATTTTTAATTTGTTTTTGATTGATTTTAAAATCTTTCTCTATTCATTTCTTTTCCTCATTGAATCAACCAATTGACGATTTCTCTGCTTTTTAAGTTGTTTTCATTTAACCTGCAGGCATTTTCAGGAGAAACATTAAAGTTGGTTCGTTTAAAATTATCATGGTTATCACATTCAACCAGGTGGTCGGAGTCAGATTTTATATCCGACTCCGGGTTAAAATTTCCGACTCGGGTTCTTTTGCATCATAATTTTACCTAAATATCACTAGTAAATAACAAATACTTTTGAAAATTTTAAAATCAGTCAGTATAATTGTTTTTATTAGTAAAATTATTTTGTTTTTATGTTCAAATACATACTTGAAAAAAAAATAGTAAATAAAAAATTTTTCCTGAGTAGGATGAAAAATATCCAATTTTGGCCCCTCAAAAGTTTCCGGCTTTGGCCTAAAGAAAAATATTTTCAGAATAAAAAAATATTAAAAAATTTTTAATTTCAAAACGTTTTCCGGAGTCGGATACTCCGGCCCCTCAAAAGTTTCCGACTCCGGCGAAAATCTCCGACTCCGACACCCTGCATTCAACATTACTATTAAGTAATTAGATTTGCCTCCAACCTTTATTCAAATTATTATTTTTTGCTTCAAAACTTTTTTTTCTAAAAAAAACTCCTGTCTGCTTGTCCACGTCACGTGAATTCTACCGACCCAGTGTTCAATTAAAAGAGGAATTTTCTTCAATTTACTGGGCACTAAAGTTAACTGGTGTAATTTGAATTATTTGCCTTTAAATTATATTAAAATTAGGGTGTGCTTGACATTTTATAAAATATTCTTTTAAATAGTTCCACACCTTCATTTTCCCGTAAACCATTATTCTTTTACTCGCATTTATTGTTATGTTGAATGTATCATCGTTACAAAATCACACTAGAATTTTACAACATTTAGTCTCAGTTATTTATTGAATAGTGCACCAATTTTTGTCTTTTATTTCAACTTGCCTTTACTTTCGGAATTTTTTCAAATTTATGTATTAGGGCAAACTGGTAATCGTTAAGTAATAAATAAGGATAAGAATTTGTGCTTAAACATAAATATAAATTTGGGTTTGTACATGCTCAGAAAATGCCAAATTGGACAGTTCGATTTTGGCTGGTGTGAAAAGGAGATGATTAAATCTTTGCTGACCATGGCCTTTAATTGTTGGGAACAAAACTGTTCATTCAAGTTTTGAGCATTAACATAAAGTCTGACGAAAGTTAAATGTTGTTTATAATATAGAGCTGATGTTGGAATATTATAGATGAAGTATTTTGAAGAAAGGATTAGTTATATATACAAATATATATATATGTATATATATATATTTATTTATTATAATTACTGGAGAATTTAGGTAGCCCCCTTTGATATTACTTTGATATAGGCACTTCATGCGCTTAGTGGAATTGATGCACAGAAACACACACGCGCGCACATACAGATATAAAATTCAATTATTGGTGAGAATCACAGCATGTTCTACGTTAATTAGCTTCCTATTTAATTTTTCGATTTTTCTAACGGTAGATCGTAAATCATTGTCAAGTTTCTTGAGTTCAAAATAAATATTTTTATTTATTTTAGGCAAGATGGAACAGTTAAACATGATAGAACAAAAAAGCTGTTATACTATCTTTGGTGTTCGAATTGATACGTTGTATATGTGGCCAGATGCTCCAATATTTATATACTGTGTCTCTAGAATGTTATTTATTTGTTTGTTGAATGTGAATACTTAACCGTTAAAAAAAATCGAAAAATTAAACAGGAAGCTAACGCAGAACATCCTGTGATTTTCATCAATAAATTGCATTTCTTCTGACAGTCTTAATATATATATATATATATATTATTAATGTTTTGAACGCTTCTATTAAGACATTAATGAATATAAAAGCAGATTGTTTAATTAAGCAGAAGGATTGATAACGTTTTTGTGTCAAATTTTGAGAGTTGACATAAAAGTTTTCGAGCTACGTCTGTAGTTTTTTAAGTTTTTATTGTTGGCAATCTCTTTTTGCCATTTTCAATGTTTTGTTTAAATTTATTTCAAGTTTTATTGCTGTGAGAGTTTCATTCATGGTTGTGGTGTAGGTTTTTTAGGAAACATTTTAATCAGCGTGTTGTTCAGCTAATTTTAAAATCTTAACTTAATCCGTTTGTTTCACACACATTTGATTTTTTAATTTAAGATAGTTCACATTCATGTAATACGTCATCATGTAAAATCTGGTCTGTCTCCAACCACATGCATTGATATTTTGTTGATTTTCAATCTGCAGTTTAATTGATTTGTCATATTTAAATTGTTTTTCTTACATTATATTTTGGCTTGATTGACAATATATTTATTGTTTTACTGCATCATGAATAATTAATCATTGCAGAGGTACTAAAGCTTATTCATTCATTTTAAAATCAGTTATGGTCAAATGTTGACGTTTATTTAAATACAATTCATGATATACCCCGCTCTAAGTTAGATGGGTGCCGTATTTGTGGTTTCAGTTCTATTCATTATTTTCAATAATATTAGTTTGTCATACTGTACGTTGTTTTTATTGCTGCAGGGTATATTGCATGTTGCTTGTTCCAAAAAGAAGATATAATTCTTTAATCACACAGTTAATAGTAAAATGTCTGAATGACGTCAGAATGCTGTTGTCATTGTTGTTGCATTAGATAATCTTGGTGCCTTTCTTTAAGAGGAAAATTAATTGTTCTTGTTCTTGTCACAATTGTATCATAGTGATTGTTAAGCATATGAATTGTTGGTCTTTATTTCTTTCAAGTTAAATTGTTACAAATTGTTTTTTTTTTTATATTCATAGTCAGTGTTGTGTGTAATAACTTTCTGTGTTATTTATGATGAAACATTAATTCTTATTTTTCAATCCATTTCTTTGCAGTTGATATTTTGTTTGAAGTTCTGGAAATTTGTATTTATGGACTTTTATTTTTATGTTGTTGTCGATATTGTAATGTTTCATCTTTTGGTGTTGTGGATATGTTGGTTGTCGTTATTACGTTAACGTTGATTGTAAATTCAAAGTTGTCTTTGTAATGACTAGTAGATTAAATTTTCACTTTTCAAAAGCTTCAATGATGTTATGATTATTCATGTATCCCAAAAATGTATACATTGGTTTAATTGATTTTGGAAAGACAAAAATACCTCATGTTAATTTATGAAGCTAGATGGTGCTTTATTTAAAATAATTATATTGCAAAGTTATTTTGATGCGTTTGAAATTTATGCGTACAATTGTCATTTCTCCAAATAAGTTAAACATGTTGCTTTAATTAATATTTGTTAATTCATATTAACAACCGTCCAATGACACCACTAAGAGTCATTTAGTTATTCAATTATTCAAAGCGCTTAATTTTATAAAGGATGCCATCTCTATAAAACATTGGAATGTTTTGTTCATGATAATTTCAAGACTGAATGATGGACGACATTTTGAAATGATTCGTCATTTCGATGGGCTCAATCATTAAATGTTCTTGTTATGTTCAATTGTTTCAATTGACACTTTTTCACAATTTAATGTTTCAAACACCTAGCTGTCGGGTGCCGTTCGTATTGTCGTCTCATGTAACACGTTACTTGGAATTTAACCTGCAGATTTCTGATTATTTGTTATACTAGATGTTTATGTTTATATATATATATATATATATATATATATATATATATATATATATATATATATAAGCGTGCATAGTTTTGTCAGTACTTGTTGAACTAAATTGTAATCACGGGGATCGTTAACCTTACGTAGTTTTGT